GCTATTTCGGTGTCCCTAGTTCCTTCCATCGAGCGTTGGTTGATGTTAGAGGACCCTATTATGACGCACTCGACGTCTACTATCATACCTTTGGAATGGATGTAGATCATAAAGCGGCGACTCTTCTTCGCAGGCTCCTGCGTTAACAATATTCGGTTCATTTTTTAGCAGGCTGGAATGTTGAGGTCTGCATAGGTAGGGATGGGAGGTACCTGAGGAGTATTTGACGCGGTGGGATCGCTAGCATTCAAAGAGGAAACTCCATCGACAGGCTCTCGGTTACCAAGACAAGAAATTTAGAAAATCTTGAGGCTCATATACATTCTCAAGTCCAGTTTCCACCAATGCCTGGTAAATGATGTCATACATCATTTGCATTGTTTTATGCTGCAGAAACCAACAATTATATGGAATGAACAAGTTTTAACAGTTAACAGAAGGTCTTAAAAAGGAGAACTTAAAACTCAACACATGTTCAGTTCGGAGCATTCTGCCGGACATGAAACGAATATGACTACTCGAAACGTCATCTAGCATGCAAAAACTTGGAGTCTACCTGCAAAAAGAGAATCCTTTGGATAGGAGCGCTGGTTGTAACTCCTGGCCACATTGGGATGAGAATATAAGCTGAAAACCTCTAATTTGATCTGATTTTGTTAGCAATTTTCAGAGCAATTTCCATTGGAATTAAATTGTTTGCACCTGCAAACAATTGATAATTAAGTTGAAAGCTAATTTTACATGACTAGTTCATATTTTTTCCTTTATTCATCATCCTAAAGGCTAAGTTTCTTACCTAAATCTTTATGTGCATCCCAATCATATGATGATCCAAGAAAGTACTGGTTCTCGACGTAGATGAAGGGTTGAGCAGAACGGATTGCATTCACATATGCAGTGTGTATGCTCATGTCTATAAGAACATTCTTCCCACACGCCAAGTTCTAGACAAAATATAAACATACAAATTGGTTATAATCCGTTAATCTTTCAACAATGGATGATAAGAACAGGTAAAAGCCATAGGCTTCTCTCACCATTTTTGTAGCATCTTTTGGATTATGCGGAAAACCCTTCACGGAGTTGGAATCAATTGAACGAAAAACCTTCATAGTAGGGAATGCATAGGAAGTAGGAACAGGTACAATGAATTAGGAAAAAGCCAAATATGGAACAAAGAAATAAGTAACCCCAACAGCTCATTAACATGAAAAATACCTGAACATGCCATGTTTCAGGATCATCCTTGCTCGAATTTTCGGTCATCCAAACAATTTCGGGAATCCTTTCAATCTTTAGAAATGCATCTTCGCTCCTCGAAGTTGGTGAGTATGTCATAAGCAGCCGGGCCGTCAATTCGACAATGCAAATCATGCCAAGGTTCTCTTGGACAAAAAGCTTTAGGTTCCCACAGAGGGTGAAAGACTAATGCTAGTAAAAATGTTGCCTCATGTGGTAGATGATTCCTCAACACCAGGGCTTGTATATTCAAAGTCTATTCCACTTCGTACCAAATACTATATGCTTATACTGCATTATAATTGCTATATATCGATCTAGTTATCGATTAGCATAAAAACAGTCACCGTGATACTAACACATTCATCACTTATATGCATATGTTTGCACCAAGCAGCCACTTATAGTTCCCATGAACCCAACTTGACATTAGTGATTTAATTGAAAAAGTCAAAGAAATCATATTGGACAGTTGATATAAACTCTTCCTGTCAAATATTGCATACAGAAAATCAAACAATGGGGAAAAGTGAGGAAACTGAATAAGTTACCGTGAAGCAAGCGTTGTGATAGTCATCTTTGTGCACCCTTTGCAATGTTCTGAAGAGTGAATGGTTTGGAGTATCGTACCGACCCTTGCACAAATCAAGACCACCAACAAACGCCATAATCTTTCGTTTGTTGTAACTAGAATCGGCATCAACAATCACAGTTTTCTGATGATGGGTATAGATTGGTCTAGTTTACTGGTAAGCAAAGGTCAAATGAGAACAAACTCCAGCTTTAGAGTATTTCAAGTGTAATGTGCCTAAGTGACATTCCCCTGCTGGATATGGCAATAAGCTTTTTTTCGACAAAGTGCATTAGTTGCTAATACTACAGAACCAACAACACTCAGATCATAACTAGTAACTAATGATCCTGACCTGGTTTTTTTACCCAGCTTCCTTTTCGGGCCGATCGAGGGCAAAGCAATACCTGCACCGAAGAGTGCTTGAAAAACTGGCGAGTCTCTTCATCATTTGTACCCATGATTCCTTCCTGCAAATCCTAGAGACCATCGGTGTATTCAAGCCCAAAAAAAGACTAATTTCTACTTGAAGGACAAAACAAACGAATTGATTCTTATATGACAAGGTACCGATACTCCTTAATTACTCAAGACAAAGACTCTTAATGGAAGAAAGGAAGAAAAATGACCCTTTAACCTACAGAGCCTTATCAAAGCTAGAACATGCTATTACAGATAAAAGGAGATTGTTGAGTTGCTGATCGTTTTATATCCTACAATGCTCTTAGAAGTAGGATCATCCCATACAAGGAGCAGCACCCTCACACCCTCCTGAGATTTAAGTTTAAGAAGATCGCCTAACGTGGTATTCGATGCCTTATCGGTTTCCCGAACAAGTCTGATATTATGAAATACAGACCAGCCTGCAATGTGTATCAAACGACGGCCTGACCTATAGCATTGCAGATGTCCTGCCAGCAGCTCCCATGCTCATATCCAACAATGCCATCAACCTCCAAATTGGGAAGCAAACCATCATGGACATGAGCATCTTGATATAGAGTAACTTTGCATCCTTTTCTAATAGGAAAGTAAGTACCTGGGACCCTATGATGGTCCGGTCCTGAACCTAATCCCCTTGAGTAAATAGCCATTTGCTGGATTGGAGTGTACTTAACTGACAATGTCAAAACAGCTCCAGGCTTACTAGGCTCCCCTTTGCCATTAAGGATAGGGAAGGTTCTTTCAATTTTTGTAGCTGAACATAGCTGTTCGACCGGAATCCCGACGGCTCCCATGATCTGTGAACCCACAACATCATCGTCTTTGACAACAAAATGGACCTCGGAGGCATAATGTGCAACGGGGACGTTAAAATGTTGCATCCAAATCGGGTTCTCGGAATTACTAATAACAAAAGTCCTCCCGATCACAGCACCCGCCACCGAGACTGCCACATACGGATCACTGGTTATCTTATGGTGGCTATCGAGTTTGCTACTAAACTTTAAGTCAATCTTTTCGAACATATCTCCCAACTTCTTGTGGAACATGTCCATGTTGGGTAGGTTTTTAGCCTCCTTGACCAAAATATCTAAGTTGCCATGTAAGAGCAAAACTTGCAAGGACACTTTACTGGTCTTAAACGGAAGGATTTGCAGGCCCTGACCATGGCCCGAGCCTCCCAAGGAGAGAGTTTCGTGGAAGAGTGGACTAGCCATTGGAGAATTAAACTAGACCGGATTCTTGATGAAAGAGGGTATTGGATTGAAGAAATTGGAGGTATAGAGAAAAACAAATCTGGGTGTTGGAGGTGATTTGAGGGTATATAAATATGAAGGAGAAGAACAAACAAGAGTTGAATTAAAATGGTAAAAGAAAGTGGGAGGCAACTGAAGAACAAGATCTGGTTTGAAAAGGCAGGTAGTGGGGGTTGATATAGTAACTACTAACTAGTAAAGAATTCAAGATATTGAACGGCATTATTGAACGAGTGGGAGGAGGAAGAAGAAAATCTAGAGAGAGAGAGATGGTGATTGCAACTCATGTGTAGATGTTGTACAAGCCAATGAAGGAAGAGAGATAAACTTTGAGGCTAAACTATATTTTAATGCTTAAATTATTAATTTTTATTTTATTTAAGTATTTAAATTTTATTTTATTTTTAAATCAGTTTAACATTTAATTTAGATTTTATTTTAATATTCATTTTTAAACACTTAATGGTGATATTGATATATCATTATAAAATAATATTATATTATTGAAAAAAATGTCAAATCAACGATTATATTAAATACTTAAAAGCTAAAATCAAAATAAAGCATAAACTAAATATTCAATATAATTTTATAAAACAACATTTAGATACTAAAATGGTACAAAAACTTACAATTTATCCAGATTTGAAGTTAGGGAATTTGTTTAAAAGGTTTCATTTCGAATCCGCTCACTTCCAATAATTACTTTTAGTTTCTAAGGGTGGGTTTACTTCACAACAGCAAAACAGAGCTTTAGCGGTGTTTTTATTGTCCTATAGCGGCGTTTTTAAGCGCCGCTAAAAGTAATCGCGGCAATAGAAAAAACGCCGCAAGAAGCACCGGTAATACCAGCGTCGCTAAAGTTAGCGGCGTTTGATAACAAAAAATGCCGCAAAAGGTCGAGATATTTAGCGACATTTTTGGAACAAATGCCGCAAAAGGTCGAGATCTATAGCGGCGTTTTTGGATCAAACGCCGCAAAAGGTCGAGATTTATAGCAGCGTTTTTGGAAAAAACGCCACAAAAGGTCGAGATCTATAGCGGCGTTTTGGAACAAACGCCGCTAAAAGTCGAGATCTATAGCGGCGTTTTGGAACAAACGCCGCTAAAAGTCGAGATTTATAGCAGCGTTTTTGGAACAAATGCCACAAAAGGTCAGATCTATAGCGGCGTTTTTGGAACAAACGCCACAAAAGGTCGAGAATTATAGCGGCGTTTTTCTATACAAACGTCGCTAATTACCTTTCATTAGTTAATATTAATTGATTTTGCATATTTAATTTCTGCTCTACAACACCTAAATTTAATATCATTTAGCTTTATCTAATTAACAACCATAAATTTTAATTAAGACACAAACTTGAAATCCATAACAACAAACTTGAAATCCATAACAAGAAACTTGAAATCCATAATAATAAATCAAAGTTTAAATTACGTAAAATATAATTTAATTCAACATTGTTAACTAGAATAAACAATAATAACACCTAAGATGGGAAAGAACAATTTGTAGTCTATACCACACAAACAGACCATTTACAACCATCACTAGTAGTGAACTAGTGATAAAACTCAAAGTTCTCGTCATACAGAAAAGGGGAAAGAAGAAATGTGTTATATTTGCAGGCTGCCCACTACTGTACTCCTCAAGCTTAATCTCCAATTCATGGCCTATCAACCCTGCCATGTCCTAGAACAGGAAGTTTGACAAAAGTTAGTTGAATCAAATTGTATAATTTACATAGTTAGTCGAAAGCCTAAAATTATCGGTCACAGAAAACCTAGGGACATTAAATAAACCATTCAAGTAGACAAATATGAGCACTTTGAAAGCAATGTTTAAAATAAAGGAGCGCATAATTCATGGAACTGTTATGAACCTAGAAAAGGGTTGTACTTGTTCCTAATTAAGATAAACAACATATACAAAGGTTTGCTACCTTTGTTAATGGTGAATTTTCCACAAGAAGATAAAAGAAATCTTACAATTTTCTTGTTTTAATATATCAAATGAAAATTATGAAATACAAGCTACTTACCAAAATTAACTATAATTAATTATGATTATGAAAGATTAGGAAGTAAATAAAAAGTCAATGCTCATCACTTGAAACATCGATTTCCATCTAGATCTCGCTGAACCATTTTGTTATTGATGCACATATATTTATTAATAAGAGCGATGGACAGAATGTATACACACTCTCTTCTGCGTTGAAATGCATATTTCTTTATTTTAATGAACCAGTACACTATAAAATACCTGAACAATGGCTTTCAATGCAAAAGCTTTAAGTGTGAAAGGAAAGTAAGCAACAACCCTGCAAGTCAACAAAGAAATATAAGTTGAAAGGAAAACGTTATGATATTTTTATTCACAACTAATCAGTTGAAAAATGTCTTGACAACAATGAACAATATATATTTCGTTTATTAGATTGGTACAATAGCAAATCAAATGCAATGCATAAAGTAAACAAAAAAATAGATGCTAATGGAAGCGTAAAGAAATTATAGGAGGATTTCAATGTGACTTACATCACAAGTGGACCCCAAGGTCCAAGATCCTTGTCAACCCATAACAGAAAATCCTTCAGAATCTGCAAAGAAAACTTGTTTTCATCAACATAGAGGGAAAAACCAACTGGGTAATTGCACTAACAGATAATATTTGGAAAGCTAGGGAGAACTGAAATCCTTAAGAATTCATGACCCTACTTAATCTTGTATTCCTCATAAATCTTGGCTTATATTTACCCCAACTTTGCAACTGGTACCATCAAAACCATTACAACGATTACATGAAAAGCATGCACATCATGCAACTCATGAACTCCATTGTCAAAAATCCCATCACTTTCGAAGTTCTCTAGAATACCCCATTAGAACAGAATGCCAAGGGAATGCAAGTACAGTAAGGGAAGGGGATCATGCGGGGCCTACATCCCTAGCTAACAAGTTGCCAACCTATGGAAGGATGCATGTAAGAGAACTTAATGTTACCCAAAGAAAAAGAAACTTCCTGCATCCACTTGGAAATATGGGAAAGCCAATAATTCAGCAGTGCAAAATAATGTTTAAAGGAATTTTAAATGGTTTCATAGTTAAAAACATATACCAAACTATAAAATTAGATAAAAAGAAAAAAATTATATATATATAATTATAAAATTTAACTCACACTTCCTATTGTCTTCTGAACAACATTAACACGTTGGAAAGCCCTTTCAGCTTCCAAAGTCTGCACTCTAAGCTTCAGATCACCCTGTTCCTGTAATATGTAGCATTTTGCAACAGTTTAACATAACAACTATTTTAACCTTTCAAAATATATTATAGGAATCTCGAACCCTACCAATCTTTGGATGGTTTCAGCAACCTTCTCAACCCTATCTGCCTGCCCAAATAAGTTATAGAATGCACGGGGATGTCTGTCCCATGTCTGAAGTCCTGAAATATTTATATAGGTTATCATGAAAATGGAACTTTATCATGAAAAATACAATTAAATCTAGAATCGAAGATTAGAATATTACCTTCAAGGCAACTTCAACTCCAGCTTCCCGAAATCTTAACAACTCCAGTGCATAGCTAGAAGCAATAAAGTGCAATATAATCAGATCCTTCCACCGCTCCTGCTTGTCTCGCTTGATTAAAAATCGAGTCCACATCGTGATGCTTCGAAGGATCTCGAACCACCATCCCACTGCTCACCCAGATAAACAAACTAAAGAAGCAAAACAAAAAATCCTAACAAAAAATGAAGGCCACGGTAAAAGAGTTATACCTTTTTTCACCGCCGGTGAAATAATCCTGGCCTTCATCAGAATCGCTGTCGGACCCACCAGGAGGGGACCGGTTCAGATCGGCGAGGGTACGAACGCCACGAGCGTTGCTTCCGTCGCTACCAGACGGTTTCTTATCAGCGTTGCGACGCGACCTAAGCGTATAAGGGGGGCGAGAAGGGCGGGCAGGAGAAGGGGAGCGGGACCTAGAAGGCGATTGCGAGGGAGAATAATCAGCGGAATCAGAGGGTGAGGAAGTCGGAGAGTTGTTAACGGCGCCAGAGACGGGAGGCGCGATTGAGCGCGGTTGTTGTGCGGCGGTAGAATTGCTGTCGAAGAAGGTGGAAACGGAGGCGTCCAGGTCCCACTGGTGGGATTCCAAAAAGAAGAGGGCTTCTTCTTTGGAAGAAGAAGTGATTTCGATGAAGGAGTTGATCAAAGCAGCGTTTTGATCGGCAGTTGGGTTACTGGGATTTCCTTGCTGCTGAGTTTCGTGTTCCATTGTTCAATTCTTTTTCTGATAAAAATAGAAAGGACAAGCAAAAGTTGTTGAATGACCCTTTCTTTACAAAGTAACATTACAGGTGTATTTATGTGGTTAATTATTTTTTTAATTACTTGTAAATTTCAATATTAATATATTATTTATCTTATGATTTTAATTTATTTAATTTATAGTAAAAGTATAATTTAGAACAATAACTATTATCTAAAACTATGAATAGTTTTAATTGTAATAGAATTAAAATTTAAGATGAATGTAAGGTGTAATTTAATATTTATTAGGTTTTGTCTATTTAAATTTTATATTAATTGTCATCTAATAATAAAAATTAAATTATAATGAAGTATAATTCAAAATGAATACGAGGTGTAATTTTATATTTTATTGAAATTTATTTATTTATATTTAATTTTGATATAATTAATATTTTTTATTTTTAAATAAATAAAATAAAATATTATATATATAAATTTAAATGTTATATTTTTAGATAGTTTACTTTATCAATTAATATTATAAATCTCACTTGTATGTGAAAAAAATATGAAGAAATAACAAGAGAAAACGATAGCAGCAATAAGGAGGAGAAGAAGAGTGATTCTGAGAGAGGAGCCCCAGGTGAAAGCCATTGACAACCTATGATGCCAAGGCCTACACGCTTCGTCGTTGCTGTTAATATCAAAGATTTCAGGTTTAAAGGATGAACGAGCCCTCAGTCCTTCTACGGTTGCCAGATTTTGGGAAGTAAGAAGTAAATTGAAAGAGAAAAGTGGGTATCTGTCTGATTGCGTTTATTGCAAATTTCAATCGCTTTATTGGCGTTTTTCCCACAGATAAACCAATTGTTTCGCGTTGCTTAAAGTGAGATTGGCGAAGAAGCATGGTTTGGGTAAACGGCGGGAATGAAAAAATAGGTTAAGGGGGGAAAAATGAGAAAGGGTTAATGGTTAAACGCCAATAAAGTACTAGGTTTTAGCGGCGTTTGTCTAAAATCGTCACTAAAGTATGAGTATTTAGCGGCGTTTTTGAATAAAATGCCACTAAAGTATTAGGTTTTAGCGGCGTTTATTTAAAAACGCAACGATATATATACCCTATTGCGGCGTTTGTTTAAAAACGCCACTAAAGAACGATTCTATAGCGGCGTTTGTTTACAAACGCCACTAAAGTACAAGTTTTAGCGGCGTTTTTGCATAAAATGCCTCTAAAGCACTAGGTTTTAGCGGCGTTTATCTAAAAATGCCACAATATATGTACCCTATTGCGGCGTTTGTTTAAAAACGCCACTAAAGAACGATTCTATGGCGGCGTTTTTTTTAAAAACGCCACTAAAGTACTTATCTTTAGCGGCGCTTGTCGAATAAACGCCACTAAAGTACGAGTTTTAGCGGCGTTTGTTGAAAAACGCCGTTAATGTTATCATTTAGTGGCGTTTTGGATATAAACGTCGTTATATGTACAAATTTAGTGGCATTTGCTTTGAAAACGCCGTGACAAACGCCGCTATATACTTGTTTTGCTGTAGTGCTTGGTCAATGCGATACCAGTCTTTCGTCTACCTTTCGTCTACCTTCCGTCTACCTTCAAGACCAGCAGCCATGACACAAGGGACAACGATATGCTCAACTTGCACACGTTTCTTTATTACAAATATTAGTTCCATAAGATGGAAGAAAACCCCACCCTGTCACGTTTTTATGTATTCCCGCGACCTTACTAGTTAAAGCAGCAGCCACCTAAGAATACAAAAATGTAGAACCGTGTCAAGTGATTTCGATGGTTAAAAATAATATTGTTATTCTTAAAGGTTTTGAGTTTAAACGATTGTATTTACAACATATATATTGTCAATAATTAAAAACGATTTTGAACAACTACTCTAAATTGTTGAAAGAATCTATTGTTTGGCAGTGTACAAAGAACCAACAGGATATAAAAAAACAAAAATGCTAAAATGTTTAAGGACAAATTATTTGAATTTTTAAGTGAAAATAAATTCCATTATTAGTATTTAGCAATATAAGATTCAATGATGAACTCGTAGGATGATATCATCCAAAGTTAACGATCGTGTTCAAGACTTGCAGTGAAATTAAATTCTATTTCATCTCAAAAAAAAATAATGTTTCATCAGCGTTAGAGTGCATTTACTATTTTATGTTTTAGGTGACTCTTTGAGCTATGCTTTGACCAAACGGACCCCAAGATCTTCCACGCCAATGATGCAAGTTGAGCACAAAGCAGGTCATTACGAACTTATGCAAAAATCTAAGTGGCCCTATAGGTGGTCCCAAAGAGAAAATAACCTCATTGACCAAAAATGCCTTATAATATACGATTTTAATCAATTTTTTTTGGATTTGCCAAAATGACCAACTAAATCGCAATGCAATCGATAATTCGCAACGCGATCTCCGGTATCGCAAATCATTTTCCAGATTCGCAAAGCGAACTTCGACTATCGCAATACGAACTTTTACATATTTGCATTGCGATAGTCGAAGTTCGCGTTGTGATTTATTCCAAATTCGCAACGACTGGTGCTATTGCATTTGTTTCTTAAGAATTTTCTCTAAAAAGATAGTATTCACGCGGACGTGTCGAAGACACTTATTACCACGACCACGACCAAGAGACGGACGACGACGGCGGCGGCACGCAAGAGTAGGGGTGGGAATAGGCCAGGCCGGCCTCCAGGGGCATGGGCCTGGCCTGTATAAAGCATGGCCTGGCCTGGCCTATTTAACTAAACAGGCCAGGCCCAGGCCTTTTTAAAAGCCTATTTAACTAAACAGGCCAGGCTTAGGCCTATTAAAAAGCCTTATAAGCCTGATAGGCCGGCCTATTTAGAGTGACTACTTTGTAAAATATACTAAGTTAGAGTGACTTAATAGGGATTTTACTCTAAAATTAATGGCTAAACTGAAAATATTAAATGTTTATTGTTAAACAGGCTTTTAAACAGGCCAGGCTTTTAAACAGGCCCAGGCCAGGCCTAAATAAAAGCCTTTGACAGGCCACAGGCCAGGCCCAGGCCAATACAAATCAGTGTAGGCCAGGCCCAGGCCTATTAAAGCCTGGCCTGGCCTGGCCTATTCCCACCCCTACGCGAGAGTCCCCATTGTTCTCTATCACTCAACAAGGAAGTGGGAAAACCAAGCCTTAAATACCATTCCCAATAGTGTTTCCAATACTATATGGGATTGAGCATACCAACACTTGTTCCCAATATTATGTGGGATTGAGCCTTAAATAGTGATATTATTTTTGAATGTTTTGCTTAAAATTGCAATAATCGTGATTAATTGTAGATTGACTTTTAATTATGACATATTTAATCGTATAATACTAATGCAATTGGCTGCTGATTCAGTTGTTTTAAGGTGCATGATTGTTAATTGTTTCCTGAATAATCACATTGTATTGGAAACAAGTGTTGGTAATGCTCAATCCCACATAGTATTGGAAACACTATTGAAAATGGTATTTAAGGCTTGATTTTCCCACTTCCTTGTTGAGTGATAGAGAACAAGGGGGACTCTCGCGCGTCGCCGCCGCCGTCTCGTCTCGTCTCGTCTCGTGGTCGTGGTAATACGTGTCTTCGACACGTCCGCGCGAATACTATCTTTTTAGAGAAAATTCTTAAGAAAAAAATGCAATACTATTCGCAACGCGAACTTCGACTATCGCAATGCGAATCTAGAAACTGATTTGCGATACCGGATTCGCAACGCGAACTTCGACAATTAACAATCATGCACCTTAAAATAACTGAATCAGCAACCAATTGCATTAGTATTATACGATTAAATATGTCATAATTAAAAGTCAATCTACAATTAATCGCGATTATTGCAATTTTAAGCAAAACATTCAAAAATAATATCACTATTTAAGGCTCAATCCCACATAGTATTAGGAACAAGTGTTGGTAATGCTCAATCCCACATAGTATTGGAAACACTATTGGGAATGGTATTTAAGGCTTGACTTTCCCACTTCCTTGTTGAGTGATAGAGAACAAGGGGGACTCTCGCGCGCCGCCGCCGCCGTCTCGTCTCGTCTCGTGGTCGTGGTAATACGTGTCTTCGACACGTCCGCGTGAATACTATCTTTTTAGAGAAAATTCTTAAGAAACAAATGCAATACTATTCGCAACGCGAACTTTGACTATCGCAATGCGAATCTAGAAACTGATTTGCGATACCGGATTCGTAACGCGAACTTCGACTATCGCAATGCGAATCTAGAAACTGATTTGCGATACCGGAGATCGCGTTGCGAATTATCGAACGCATGAGGATATTTTCTCGGTCCCAAATCTTTAACACTTTGTTTTGAATCGTTTAATGCTAATATATCCACTAAAATTGACCCAGTAGGTTAGACGGGTAAAAAGAATTATCCCATTAGATCATCTTTAAATCAATTAGAGATCTACACAAATGTTAGAATGCAAGATAAATTCCTCAGCCCACATGACGAATTTACCCAAATAATATTTTTTATTCAAATTCGTTACTTAGAGCGTCATGCCCACGTGATGAGTTCCAATCCTGTTTTTGTGGCACAAATAAAATATCATATCATATCATATAAAATATGACGGATCAAATTGTCACGAATAAAATTTATTGGTAACCAATTTATAATGTCACCAATTCAAATTAAATCATCTTAATAATAAATTCTCACTAATACTTTTATTTTATTGGAAAAGAATTTATAATGTCACAGCTTTATTTAAACATCATTGAAAGATTTCCCACCAATTTTTTTGAAGGCAAATTTTAACACCAAACATGTACTGACAAAAATCAATGATATTTTTAAAATTGTCATAAAATATATGTAATAAATCACTAAATGTGACAAAAAAATGCCACGTTTATAGTTTATAGTATATTTTGTGACTTTATATATAATGTCATGTAGAAATTTTGTTACAAATGAATAAATTTATTGTAGTGATGCACACCAGAAGGTTTCTCTCCCACCAGCATCAATTGTCTTTATCATCATAGTGGTTCCAACGTATCCCAC